CCTCTCTCTCCATCCCCTATTTCCTTTACTCCTACCCTCTCTCCCTTCTCTTTTCTCTCCTTTCCTTCTTCTCCATCTCCCTCCCCTTTACCATCTCTCTGTTTTTTTCTCCTTTCATTCCCGCTCTCTCCTTGTCCTACCTTCTCATCTCCTCCTCCTCCTCCTCCTCCTCCTCCTCCTCCTCCTCCTCCTCCTCCTCCTCCTCCTCCATCCCACCTTTCCCCTCCTCCAAACCTCTTACCATCTTTCCTCTCCTCTCTATCCCTCCACCCCCCTTCCCCCCCATCCCTGATCACCCAAAGGAAATTCGATCCGGCGACAGTTTCGTCTCCGTTCGTCGATCGCGAGAAAGGGCGGTGTGGTCCCAGTGCGAAGACGATATAAAGGGTTCTTGACTTTATCTCCCGAGGTTGCTGGAGATAAGCGATAGGGGGGAGGAGGAGGGGGGAGGGGGAGGGAGGAGGGGCGTGCTATATCGTGGATGGACGCTGGGTAGCTCGCCTTTGGGGCTTTGATTAAGATTGTTTTGTGTGTGCGTGTGTGTGTTTGCGTGCGTACGTGGGTGTGTGTGTGTGTGTGTGTGTGTGTGTTGCGTGCGTACGTGTGGTGGAGTGTGTGTGTGTGTGTGTGTGTGTGTGTGTGTGTGTGTGTGTGTGTGTGTGTGTGTGTGTGAGTGTGTGGTGTGTGTGTGTTTTGGCGAGGTTTTTAGGTTTCTTGGGGGGAGCATCGGATCCCCGCGGGCGATGAATCGTCTAGTAGAGAATGAAGCTCTATGAGAGAGAGAGAGAGAGAGAGAGAGAGAGAGAGAGAGAGAGAGAGAGAGAGAGAGAGAGAGAGAGAGAGAGAGAGGGAGGGAGGGAGGGAGGAGAGAGAAAGAAGAAGAGAAGGGAGAGAGAGAAAGAGAGATAGATTGGTTCCCTTTTCTGCTTTGCCTCCGCCATTACCCAACTGTCCTTAATGTCAACCATAAACATGGCTGCAAATCGCGTAACCTTCCCCTCCCTATGTGTCCCCGAGGGCAGGGCAGCGGGTCAAGGCAGATTGGACCTTCTCGCCGCGGAGGGGAAGGGCCGGTATCGCTTGCACGTCGCGTCGAGAGGGGGCCAGGTGTTCGCTCCTGTAAGGGGAGTGCGCGGAGGACCACCTGCCCAGCCCCGCTATAGCAACCCCTGTCGCCCCTCGCTGCTATACCCTCGCCTCTCCCATCCCCTTTCCTCCCTTCTCCTTCCCTTCTATCTCCTTTCCTTTCCTTCCGTCTCCTCCGTGTCTCCTGTTACTCTCCTCTCTTTGGCCTTATCGTCCTCATCCCCTTTCCTTTCTCTCCCCTGCCCATCCCTTCCCCTTTGCATACCCCCCTTCTGAGCTCTACCCTTCCCCTTCTCTTTTCTCCTTCCTATTCCTACCCTTCCCGCTCCCTCTCTCTCCCCTTCCCCTTCTCTCCCCCCTTCCCCTCCCTACCCTTCCCCTTCTCTTTCCCACCTTCCCCTCCCTACCCTTCCCCTTCACTTTCTCTCTCTCTTCCCTTCCCCTTCTCTCTCTCTCCCCTTCCCCTTCTCTCTCTCTCTCCCCTTCCCCTTCTCTCTCTCTCTCCCCTTCCCCTTCTCTCTCTCTCCCCTTCCCTTCTCTCTCTCTCCCCTTCCCCTTCTCTCTCTCTCCCCTTCCCCTTCTCTCTCTCTCCCCTTCCCCTTCTCTCTCCCCCCTTCCTATTCCTACCCTTCCCCCTCTCTCTCCCCTCCCCATCCCTACCCTTCCCCTTCACTTTCTCCCCTGCCGATCGCTACCCTTCCCCTTCCTCCAGCGCTTAATTCTCTCCTGACTTTGATGGATGGGAGATGCAGGACCGACGTGACTAACGCGAATGAATAACTGTATGAATAAGCCAGTGTGGAGATCTCGGCAGTAGGACCCGAGCGCCGGGGTGAGGGGAGCATCCGAGGGGAAGTTCATCCTCGTGCCCTTCCCCTCGCCCATTATTGTGGGGTAAGGGGCAGAGAGAGAGAGAGAGAGAGAGAGAGAGAGAGAGAGAGAGAGAGAGAGAGAGACAGAGACAGAGACAGAGACAGAGACAGAGACAGAGACAGAGGGGAAGCGGCTTGTCTGATGATGTCTACGTCACTGGGGTCATCAACACAAGGGAAATCATTCCAGATTATTGATTTCCTTTCTGTTCTCGCCCCATTTTTTTGTGTGTTCAAAGGATGTGTCTTTTTTTCTTTCATTCATTCTTTCTCTGCAGCTAGCTCTCTCATTCTCTCTCTTTTCTCTCTCCCTCCCCCTCTTCCCCCCTTCCCCCCTTCCCTCGCTCTCTCTCTCTCTCTCTCTCTCTCTCTCTCTCTCTCTCTCTCTCTCTCTCTCTCTCTCTCTCTCTCTCTCTCTCTCTCTCTCTCTCTCTCTCTCTCTCTCTCTCAGAAAAGCACACACTCTTACTCTCTCTCTCAACCTTTTTTGTTGCTCTTGATATTTACGAGTGGAGAAGCTTCATGGGAAAGTGAACATCTGCGTGCTGTAAAGGGCAGGGAGACGGATGGGTTCGAGGGAAGGTCAGTGCTCGACCGGGTTACAGAACAGCAGATCTTTTTGATTGTAGACATGTACACATTCACGTACATATACAGACGTGCACATGTAGACGCACTTAGGCATACAAAGCGTACACATGCACATACATACAATACGGAAGCACGTATATGCACTTTCTCTTATTTGCATGTTCGTGCTCTCACTCATTTGTTATTTATTTTTATTTCTCTTTCTCTTCACCTTTTTTACGCGCTCGCGCAGACACACATACGTACTTTGAAAATATTTAGATGCAGACAAGACGCACGTGGCGTGTAGGGGATCCTTCTTGGGGGAGGCTGTGCTGTCGGAGGTCGACGGGGGGGGGGGGGGTGAGGAGGGAGGGGGGAGAGGGGGAGGGGTAGATGGGAAAGAGAGGAATGGAGCGGAAAGGGAGAGCGGAAGGAGGAATGATGGAAGGAAGGAAGGGGTAAAAGAGAGGTGTGGAGGAGAGGAAAAGAAGGAGAGAGGGAGGGGGTAAAGGGGGGGAGAGAGAGGAAGGAGGATGGATGGTGGGAGGGGGTAAAAGGGGGGAGAGGGAGGAAGGAGGGGGGGAGAGGGTAGGTAGGAAGGACGTGTGAGGAACAATGATTGTCGTTTGGCTCCTCTTGTCACATTGATTGACTTATTTAACGAAGGGATCTCTTTTCTCTTGTATATTTCGTTTCCTTTCTTTCATTTTCCTTTTTTCCCTTTTCTTTCATTTTCTCTGTCTTTCGTCTTTCTTTCTGGCGTAGGAGACTGGCCGGCGTGTGGCTAGAGAGGAAGTCTTTGAGAGTGACGAGCTTTTTATATGTCTGTCATCGTTTTTTTTAATTCTTTCATCCTTTTTTTTCTCTCTGCTTCTTTCGTCTTTTACCTTTCTGTCTATCTGTTTTTTTCCTCATCCCCAGCTTCATTCTTTCTTTGTATCCCGTTTGTATTTCTGTTTTTTTTTCTCGGTCTTTTTTTCTCTTTTGTTCTTCTGTATTTTTTCGCTCTTCTTGCCTTCTCCTTTTCCTTCTACTTGTTTCTAATGCCGTTTGTGACTTCGGATGGTGAAAAGTCCGTCAGTTTCAGATTCGTTTTTATAGGTGCATTGATATCTCTCTCTCTCTCTCTCTCTCTCTCTCTCTCTCTCTCTCTCTCTCTCTCTCTCTCTCTCTCTCTCTCTCTCTCTCTCTCTCTCTCTCTCTCTCTCTCTCTCTCTCTCTCTCTCTCTCTTTCCCTCCCTCCCTCTCTCTCTCTCTCCCTCCCCCCTTCCCCATCCCCTTCCCCTCCCATCCCCTCCTCTCCTCCTTTCTCCCCCATTCTCCCTCCCTCCCTCTCGTATCGTGCAACCTTGCAATCGTTATCATCAGTTCGAAGAGAGCATGCATTAGGCGACTGCGGGCCCAGCAGCGCGCTTCGCCGTCCCAAGGTGGTAGCGGGGCGGGCGCCATCAGGTGACGTGCAGCGCGGCAGGTGTGGGTGGGGAGGCAGCCCTTTGTGCCAGAGATTTAAACCGATCGGAATGACGTCCCCGCCGCTACCTGGAGGGGCATGCCGGCAGCGTGGTTTGGTATGTGGCAAGGGGGGGAAGGGGGGTATGTGGTATGTGGCGGGCGGAACGAGGGTAGTGCAATAGGCGATGTGTGGGACCAGCATGGTTTAGACCGAGTCGGGGATGCGGCGCGAGAGGAGAGTGATTGGGTGAGTGTTCCGTGTGCATGGGAGAGTGCATGGGGGTCCGGCGAAGCTTGCATGGCGCGGGTGTCCTGTTTTGGCGATTGGGATAATGGGATAATGGCCGTGTGTTGTTAAGGGATAGCGGAGGAGGCAGACCCATAGGGCGAGGGGCAGTCCGCCGGCAGCTGCTTCGTAGGCTGCATCGCCCGGCCTTTTGGCGGCGGGGTGTAGTGAGGCATGGCGGGCGTATTATATGCCTTGTCGCCGATTTTGATCCAAATGTTTCCTGTCATGTCGAGGGGAGGGGGAGGGGGGAGCGGGAGGACAGACGCGTGGGCGGACGTGGGAGGAAGGGAAATCGATAACAATTGAAGCTCTTAAATATTTCTGCCGATTCTCTTTCGTGCCGCAGAGCCTCTCGAAAATCTGTCGTTTGGGTGATTGACGTCTGATTCGGCAAATATGTCATCGCCGTCTCCGTCAGGAAAAGTTTGACGTGACGCAATGCGCGGTGTGATCTCTCGCTGAAGGGGAAGGGGGTGTGGGTTCGCCGGCGACCACGTGGTCCCGCGGAGGAAGTGCGTGAGTGCGTGCGTGTGCGTGCTTTCATGTATTACGGAGAGGCGGATTGACTGGCCATCGATTCGTAAATGTTGTCCGGGAGAACTTTATAGATTTCTAACAAAAAAAGGTTGAAAATACTTTTTTTTTAAATATTTATCTTTGTTTCTGCAAGATCAGTATCCAAATGCCCAAGCCTTGCCTAACCTTCCGTCTTCTCTGTCCCTCTCAAGCAGCAGCAACATCGACGAAGAGTGGTGCTCTAATGACGAGCTGAGCGACGAGTACGAGATCGACGAGTCCTCGGTGGACGACGAGCACCCCTCCTCCACCTCGGGCCCGCGGGTCAAGAAGCACGTCAACAAGGGGCGCTGGACCAAGGACGAGGACGAGGTAAGGGACGAGGCCGGCGAGGACGGCCGCCTCAACCTCAGAGATTGAGATTTTGTTTTATTATGGTTAAAGATGTGTTTAAAGAGATTACGTACGTGCGCATATACGTACTTGCATGGATGGTGCACGTACTGTATTTGCTATATTATACGAACATTTATACTATGCAAACACACTTGCATATATGCATACACATACATATTCATATACACGTGTAGGTATTAAGGGGGCCATAGATTTGAATATGGGGATGGACGTAGTATATATTTTTACGTATAATATTTGTCTCCATGGAACGATGTTACATGGAGTCATGATTACACCAAAACAATACAATCCTAATACAACATTTTATTCGCCTATATCGTATGTCTAATTCTTTTTTTTCTCTCTTCCCAACCCTCCCTCTCCTCACCTCCCTCCCCCTAACCTGCTCCCGTCGAGTAGAAGCTCAAAGGGCTGGTGGAGCAGCACGGCGAGAAGTGGGAGGTGATCGCCGCTGGCTTCCCCGACAGGAACGACGTCCAGTGCCAGCAGCGGTGGCACAAGGTCGTCAATCCAGAGCTGGTGAAGGGACCCTGGACCAAAGAGGTGAGTACAGTTGGTACAATGTTGGCTTGGGGTTTGTCAGTGTGTGTGTGCGTGTGTTTGTGTGAGTATGAATTGGAGAGATTAGGAATTATTGATTATGTGGATTTTGTGTGTGTGTGTGTTTGTGTATGTATGTATGTATGTATTTACACAAGAGTGGCAAACCGTTTGTCTGTTCGTCATTTGCCTCCATTGTCTGCCCCGTTGGAAGGACAGATAGAGAGCCTTGGTGGCACTCCTTTGCCTCAGAGCTCGGCGTCGGAAACCGTGTGTGGTTTTCCGCGGATTTCAAGGCAGCAGTAAGGAGCTATCCGAGAGGCAGCCGCGGCCACCTCTTTTGCATTTTACGACGTTGCAAAGTTTCCATCCCTTATTTAGGATGGATCGGGGGGTTTATAGGCCTAGGGACCGAACGGTAGGCCTATAGCTGGAACGCAATAAAATGGAGCAAAGCTTTTGAGGCTGACCGGTAGTGGACGGAAAGAAGGGTAGTGTATGTGTGCGTTTGTGTGTATGTATGTGTGCGTGTATGTATGTTTTTGAAGGATATTTTACAGTAGAAAAGAACATGCATAAAATCTTATATGTATATAAGTGCGATTGTGTTGTACGCGATAGTGTTTTCGAGTGTCATTGTGCCTGCGTGTTGGTTAACCGCGAGCTACCCCTACGTTCCTCGCATCCCTTCCCCTTCCCCTTTTCCTCCCCCCTTCTCCCCCTTCACCTCCCCCCTTACGGCCATTACCCCGGCGCTGGGAGCCTCGTAAGACAATTGTTTCCTCCTGAGGGTGAGTGCTCCCTTCCCCCTTTCTCACCCTTTCCGCGACCTGCTCCGGCCGGGTGCAATACCCTTGCCAGGCTCCCGTTTGCCCGTGTGGTTAGATTTCAGCTGTTTTTTTTTTTTTTTTTTTTTTAGAATAGTTTATATTGTTAGTGTTATTTGATTAATTAAATGGTTTATTTTAATGAGTTAATTTCTTTTGTGTATTTGTGGAGGTTTGATTTGTTTGATATCTCTTCGATTTG